GRAAAAAAAAAAAACCCTGAAATTTTCGATTGTATCATTTAACAATTTTGCTCATAGAATATACATGAGCAAATTATATTTTGCTAACAGAATATATAGGCATATGTTTCTAATAATATCAAAGATCAATTGGTTCAAAATTTGAAAATTTTCAAGTTTTAGTTTCAGAGGAATTGTGTGATATAAGACACTGCTCAAGGAAAACTTTGGGTATATTCTGTTTTCAGAGAACATCCAAATTTACAAAGGAATGTCAATTCATTGCCTAAAATCTCAAATTCATGACAGATATTTTTGATCAATTTCCATCAGTCAAGGAATTTCAACAAGAGATTAATTTGTACTGTGAAGATGGAATTCTAGCTATGCTAAGTCAAAGACCAGATACATCAGAATTTAAAAGCAAAATAATCTCTCGTTGCTTTATTCCAGTGTACAATTCATATTGAAGATATTCTTGTTCAGTTTTCTGAAGCAGATTCCAAGATGAGATATGGATACAGTCACTAAAATTCTTCAGGACATATGCATATGTACAAATGCTATGGAATACTCACTGCTAGTTATGGAACCAAAAAAGCATAAAACAATACATGATCTTGGGTTCTTTATCACTGTTATCTGGATGATTTATAAAAGAATTTTATAAAGATTTCCTGACTAGAAAATCCAATTCAACATTTCCTTGAAACAAAAGGAATGTTTACCAAATATTATGCAAAGTGAAATAAGACAGACACAAAAGAACAGATGTTATATGAGCTCAGTTATGTGAAGTGTTTAAAATTCAAATATGTAGACAAATTAGAATAGTGGTCACAATGAGCATGGAGGGGAAATGATGAGTCATGGTTTAATGAGTACAGAATTTCAGTTTGGGATGATGGAAAAGAACTGGAGATAAACAGTGATGATTTTACGAACATGTTAATGTAATTAATGCTACTAAATTACACAACACAAAAAGGACCCCAACAGCTAATTTTACATTATGTATATTTTATTACATTAAGGAAGAATTCTAAAATAGGTAAAATAAGAGTGAATTCAAGGGTGGGGATGTGGCTCAGTGGTAGTGTCTGTTCACCGTGCATGAGTCCCTGGGCTCTATCCCCAGAAAGAAAAAGAATTCATACAAAGAAATCTTGTCTTGTCCTGTGACTTAAAAGAAATTTCTTCAAAAGAAACTCATTACTGGGAAATATTTTTAAAAGTGCGAGCTTCACTGTAAAATAAAATCTGTCACAGGGCTAACTTTAACACTCATCAATGTAAACAAGAACAAAAATTCTAAATAAAGCTTAATAAAATCAATTCTATGAGGAGTGAGCAGTTGAAAAGCTCTTGATCTGATTATTCCAATGATGGATTTAAGTACATGGGTGATGGGCCAGACTGAACGTCATTCAGGCAATTATACATACTTAGTTACTGATAAATATTGTACAGTAGGGTCTATGGTTTCCCTCAGTAGCTACCCAATATTTACAAAGCTGTACTGTACAAAGAACTTGTATCCAGGTAAAGGATCTATTGTAACTCAATTAACAACAACTCAATTTTTAAAGAGATTGAGTAGGCGTTTTACCAAAGAAGACTTATATGAATGGCTAAAGAGCACATGAAAGATAAATCAACATAATCAGTCATCAGGCAAAGGCAAATTAAAACCACAAAGAAATCCAGAAAAGGAACTCCACAGACAGAAGGTAGATCGACCAGTGCTGCCTGGGAGTAGGGGTAGGAAGGGGAGATGGAAAAAAATCTAAGGGATCTGATTAAGGTGATGTTCTAAAAGCGGGTTATGGCAATGGCTGCACAGCTCAGTAAATTTACTAAAACTCTCTGAACTGCACACTTAAACTGTGTGTGTGGTTTTGCTTTTTATTATTATTATTATTATTATTATTATTATTATTATTATATAATTTATACCTTAAAAAGTTGAAAAACAAAGTTTGTGCTCTAGATTCCCAACTGACACCAGGATAAAACATCCTCTTATGTAAATTGGGTGGGTCTAACCATGAAACATCCTAAAACAACTTTAAGAGTTTTACATATTCCTCTTAATTCTTCCCATAAATTATATCTTATGAGGATAAAAAAAAAAAAAAAAAAAAAAAAAACTTACACCAATGTGGATGATCCTTAGGTGACATTCCTTCCATGGCTAGAGTGCGTCTAGTTGGTCCATTCAGCGGTAACTGTGCAGATCAAGCTGTCACACAGCAGACTCTGAACTGCAGGCTTTGAGGGTGGGGGGATGAAGGAGGCACCAGAAGAAACCGAAAACCCTACATCCAGAGGTAGCATTTCAAACCAAACATATTACAGCAAACGTTCCTGAGTCTCGCATCAGCATTAAGGATCTCTTTATTTCCACAAGCGCGGAGTTTTATGGTTCAAGTTCTCTTTTTACAGGAGCTGCTTCAAATTTCAACCTTAGGAACTCATTTCTGTACCACTCTTCAGTCGTGGGGATTCTCTAGAACCCAGTGACCTGACACCCAAGCCTAACACACTCAGGATCTTTAGTTCCTTTTTCAGTTAGAAATTATTATTCAGACTCCTCAATGAAATTTTTAAAGAATATCCATCCATACCCGTATATTCCATTCCTTCAAGGTCTACTCTCACATACAACAGAAAATATAACCGAGCAATTATTCTTATCAATTCTACATTCTTTTCCTGAATCGTACTAGCTATCAATGGGGTTTCAGTCTATGTATTTTCCAGATGGTACGGGATCAAAATATCAAATTCCTACAGAGGAAAAGTCAGGTTATATACATGAAATAACTTGATAAACGAGAGTATGTGATCCATCTCAAGGTAGCAGCTGCTACTCAGAACCAGCTGAGTGTTCCACAGAAATAAGGGCGCAGTATGATAGTATTAACATGGAATTCCCTAATTTTAAAATAGTGATAAGTATAYACACACACACACACACACACACACACACACACACACTAAAAACATGTCTAAGGGCCCACTCTGACCCAATCTGATTGTGACCTTTGCTATACAGAATGCTTACACTATAATTACAGGAAGCTGTGCTTGCTACAAAGTTTTTAAAAAATATACACTTCTATTTTGCAAAAAAATTAAAAAAAAAAATCCATCCAGAATAGCTATTTTCAGCATGTGTCTTTTCTATCACCCTCAATCTATCTTCCTATGATGCATGGCTCAATTGGCTCAGGTGCAAATTCTTATATTCTCAACCCCCTTAGCCAGTACTCAAAAGAAAAAAAGATTGTGATGATTTGTATGATTAGAACATTCCCTGAAGGCAAACTTATTTGAGCTTCCCTGATCTGTTCCTATTTATCACATTCTAGGGATTCCTGAATCAAGTATTCAAAAAGTATATCACATTACCATACGTCCAGTATCCTGCAACACAGTTTTCTACTAAGCAAATGAAAACATTCTAATGGACGAAAAATGTTTAAATGATTTCCATAGCATTAGAGAATATCATAGATACAAAATGAAACTTAGAAATCAATAGCCCCATCCCCTCATTCTATGTGCAAAGAAACTAAACTTCAGAAGGGTCAAGTTATTTGTGCAAGGTTATATGGTGAGTTGGTTGGCAAATGGGGACATACCCAAGTAATCTGAATCCAGTCAAGTTCTCTTTCCATAATGCTACGTGGCAGTGAAAGAAGAGCCAAAGAAAGAGAAATACACTAAAGGAAAGAACTTTTCAAATATAATTTTGGCTTTTTAGAAGCATTTCACATCACATACCTTCTTCTCTTTCCACATAACTTTACCAACCAGCAGTTGACATTCTTGGTAAGAGGAATGAATGAAGATGCACATTCTTCTTAGCTGCCAACCCATTCAAGTTGCTGTTACTCATAAATGTTATGGTAATTTAAATTCCAGGTGTATATGTAAGGAGATGATAAGGGGACATTTTGGACTGAATTTCTCCTGCCTTACTATATTCCCAGAATTACTCTGCAGAGTGAAATAACCGATGTCTGATAAGACTTGAATTACTTTTAAATATTTTATCACATTTGTTGCATTCATATTCTCTATTGCCAGTATGAATTTTTACGTGTTCTACGAGGACTGAACTCCGACTAAAGGTTGCTCCACAAAAGTCACATTCGTAGGGTTTCTCTCCAGTGTGAACTCTGTAATGTTCATTAAGAGATGAACTCTGACTGAAGGTTTTCTCACATTCGCTACATTTGTAAGGTTTCACACCAGTATGAATTCTCAGATGACGACTGAGGAGGGAATGAGTAGGAAAGGCTTTCTCACACTCGGTACATTTGTAGGGTTTTTCTCCTGAATGAAGTCTTTGATGATAAATGACAGATGTAAAATGGCTAAAAGTCATTCCACAATCCTTACACAAATACGGCTTCTCTCCAGTGTGAATTCTCTGATGTCGAGTAAGGCAAGAATTCTGTCTAAAGGATTTTCCACAGTCTTCACATGTATAGGGTTTCTCTCCAGTGTGAATTCTCTGATGTTTGGAAAGGGAAGAGCTATGACTGAAGGATTTCCCACAATCGTCACATTTATAGGGTTTTTCTCCAGTATGAGTTCGCTGATGTTGAGCAAGAGAAGAACTCTCACTAAAGGGTCTCCCACAGTCTTTACATATGAAAGGTTTTTCTCCAGTATGAATTCGCTGATGTTTAATGAGGTGAGTGCTCAGGCTGAAACATTTTCCACAATCATCACACTTGAAGGGCTTTTCTCTATTGCGATGTCGTTTGAGCGATGAACTATCACCGAAAACTTCTTCACATTCACTACACATAAAGGATTTCTCTCCAGCGTGCTTTCTGTGTTTGGTGAGTGAGGCATTACAGCTAAAGGTTTTCCCACATTTGCTACATTTATGAGTTTTTTTCCCGGTCTCAGGTCCCTCATCTTTATTTAAGGTTGTATCTTGTTGTAACTTCTTCTGACATTTTTCACACATCATCTTTTCTCTCTCAGTACGGGATAAGCTTTTGGCAAAGGACACCCCACATTTACTGCACTTGGCCTTATCTCCCAAATACGTTTTCTGACGTTTGTGATGTTCACTAAGAGATGAAGAATGACTTAGGCTCTTCCCACCTTCTCCACCTTTCTGTGACTTCTCTGAAGAATGTTCTTTACGGTTCAGAACAAGATCGGAATGAAAACTGAAGGGTTTCTTGGATTCATTATACCTCCGCGACTTCTTCCTTAAGTAGGCTCTCACATGTTTCATCAAGTCAGAAGTTCGTTTGAAGTGCTTTGCACCAGGGCTCCTTTCTGAGTCAAAGTCTTCACCTTTACTGCCTCGCTGATGAGCTTTCTTATGTGTTCCTTTTGAATGTCGTTTGCCATGACCCTCATCAGATCTGCCATAACGCTTCCTTAATTCTGCAGTCAAGCCACAACCATCATCCTTGAAGCATCTTTCTATTATTTCCTCTGAAGTCAATCCTTCAATAAGCACATCGTGCTTTTGAACAGACGGCTCCAACTCACCCCTAGGCTCACTCTCTAAAAGAGATCACAATAGAATATTTCTGTTTGCAATAAAGAAAGCTACTGTATTTGGGACTAAAATAGGAACATAGACAGTAATGATAAGGAATCTGGCATGGATAATTCTCAAATGGAGGTTTATAAAACAGGAAGCAGAAAGGCAATTCAGCAAAGCAAGATGAAAACAAGGGTTAGGACAAATACTGAGGAAGATGAAAAGGTGGTGTGACATAGTTAGAGATGCAAGTTCTTACCCTTATTTTGAATTTTTCTAACAGGCTTAAACCTATCCTCCCTACATCCAAACTTCTCTCTTTTCAAACAATGATAACACAAACATTTGTTGCCTACTTACCAAGTACCAGGTGCCATGCTGAACACTTTATGTGTATTATTTTACTTAATCTTCACAACCCCCCCATTGAAGTAGGTCCTACTCATATCCCCATTTCATGAGTGTGACAACTGGTTACATAAAGCATAAGCAGCTTGCCGAAGGTCACATATATTATAAGTGGTAAAGCCAAAAATTTCAGTCTGACATCAAGATTCATGCTTTTGATCCCTAAACCGTAGACTCCTCAAAGCAGACAAACAGCACTAATTTTATAGAAAATGTTGATCACATCACAGATAAGCAGTATCACATATGCTAGACTCTTTAAAGGTTACAGCAACTTGGCCTTATCAACTTTAGGATGCTCTCATCAGGCATCCATTTCCTGTCCCTCATACACTACAGCACTTTCAATCCTATTCTTTTGGCCTTAAAACTTCCTACTACCTAGAAGTTGGGCTTAGTGGCGCACACCTGCAATCTCAAGAGCTAGAGGGCTGAGGTAGRAGGATTGCAAGTTAAAGCCTTGACAACCTGATGAGATCCTGTCTCAAAACAAAAATTTTAAAAAGGGCTGGAAGGGTAGGTCAGTGGTACAGAGCTCCCAGATTCAACCCCTCATACTAATAAAATAAAATTAAATGTATATGGTCGCGGGTGGGGATGTGGCTTAAGTGGTAGCGCGCTCGCCTGGCATGCGTGTGGCCGGGTTCGATCCTCAGCACCACATACCAACAAAGATGTTGTGTCTGCCGAGAACTAAAAAATAAATATTAAAAATTCTCTCTCTCTCTCTCTCCCCCTCTCTCTCTCTAAAAAAAAAAAAAAAGAGAGAGAGAGAGAAAAAAAAAAATGTATATGGTCTAAGCAGGGCATGGTGGGGCCCACCTATAATCCCAGTAGCTCAGGAGGCTGAGGCAGGAAGATCATGAATTGAAAGCCAGCCTCAGCAAAAGCAAGGGGCTAAGCAACTCAGTGAGACGCTGTCTCTAAATAAAATGCACAATAGGGCTGGGGATTTGGCTCAGTGGTCAAGTGCCCTGAGTTCAATCCCCAGTACCAAAAAAAAAAAGTTTATGGTCTAGGAGATGAAATAGTATGAGAAAGATTACTGTTTGGGGGGGGTTGGGGCTATAGCTCAGTGGCAGAGTGTTTGCCTTGCATGTGTGAGGCACTGGGTTCAATCCTCAGCACCACATAAAAATAAACAAATAAAATAAAGGTATGCTGTCCATCCACAACTACAAAAAAAATTTTTCTAAAAAAGKATTACTGGTTTTCTTAAAATAAGTGAAAGTATTGATATGTATGATTTTTAAACATTTTTTTAATGAAAAATTAGTAAATTTTAGGAAGATACAGGGAATGATAAAGGAAAAAGAGCTAATYGCTTAAACACAACCAGTGGTAACATGAATGTTTCCCAAATAAAAACCTAGCACTGGAGTTGTGGCTCAGTGGTAGAGCACTTGCCTGACATGYGTGAGGCACTGGGTTTGATCCTCAACACCACATAAAAATAAATAAAATAAAGGTATTGTGTCCATCCACAACTAAAAAAAATTTTTAAAGACCTACGTGTAACWATATGTTTAACATGTATATGTACATTTTTTTCCCTTGAACATTGTCTACAGGATGAATTCCTATGTCTCCTTCAAGACTCAACTTCAAATGCTAAGTCCTTGATCCTTTAGACTAATGCTCCTTGACTTAAAATAGGGTTATGTCCCATTATAAGCTGAAAATATCATAAGGTGAACATGCACTTCATACAACTGACCTACTGAACATCACAGCTCAGCAGTACGCACTGAACCATCAGTTGTTTCCCTGCATGACTCCTTGGCTGACGGAAAGCTAAAGCTCACTATAGCTGCCCAGTGTTGCAAGAGTACTAAACCAAATATTGCTAGTCAGGGAAAAGAGAAATTTAGAATATGAAGTATGGTTGCTACTGAGTGTGTATCATTTCTGTACCATCATAAAGTCAATGACTAATTGTAATCCCTGTGACCTGGGATCACAAGCACAAGGTCAGCCTCAGCAACTTAGYGAGGCCCTAAGCAACTTAGTGAAACCCTGTCTCAAAATAAAAAATAAAAAGGGCCAGGGATGTGGCTCAATGATTAAGCATCCCTGGGTTTGAGCCCAGGTAGCAAAAAAAAAAAACCTCAAAAGTCACTAGACAAGCCTCTGTAGGTCCAGAACTATCTAAATTCACATAGCTCCTTGTATGAGCCATTATTATAGCATTTATCACATTACTAACACTTTTTTTTTTCTTTTTTTGCAGTGCTGGGGATCAAATCCAAGGCCTTGAACATGCTAGGCAAGTACTCTATTGGTAAGCTACACTCCAGATCACATCTTTTCAGTATTATAAAGATATGCCTCTCAGAGCTCTTCCTGTGAGGAGACTATCTTACAGTCCTTACCGATACCATGACCCACCACTGTACTCACAGCAAGACCACTTGCCCACAGGCTATTCCCCAACAATGRATAGTTAGGCCCATTTCTGTGAGACATAGGACTCCTCTTTGGCCTTCCCTAAACTTTCTCACAACCACTCTTCAGTTCAAGATTCTTCCTCCCCAATCTTTCCCCCTTCCCCGCCTCATTCATAGAGGTTAAACTTACATCATGCTGTAATAGCTCTCTGGCTTCTTCCAGCTCCCTTCCCATTTGTTTTCACTGGAATTTTCCAAAATAAATCTCTTGCRTGCCAAATCATTCTTGGCATCTACCTCTCAAAGGACCAAAACCAACAGTCTCTCAAACTAAAAAGAACATTCCAAAAGGGGCAGGGCTCTCTTCCACATCCTTATGTTTTAGCATACAGGCTGCCCAACATTACAAAGGCTCTTCCCAACTGACTTGGTGAGCAACTGCATTCAAGGTTCTTACCTACCTTTCACCAACTCACCAGGTCTGGAGTCTTTTGAGATTTCTTTGGCCAGCACCCTTGGCAATTCAATCCACTTTAGCTGGGAAATCACATCTAACTGGGAAACTGAAGAGCCTGCTCATAGAGAAAAGAATGGTAAGTGACTGCTCATGCATACAACAAAGATGTCCCAACATTCAAACTTAAGCCTCTGGTTCTCTAGGAAAGATGAAATGAAATAGACATCAATATTAGAATTCAAGGAGAAAATGAAGGAAGGGAGAGCACTGATAACAAAATGATGCTKCACACTTCCAACTTAATGAAGCAAAGACCTTTTGGAGGTAATTTTGCAGAAAAGTACAGTTTTCTGATCCATTTTTAGGATTAATCATTTAATCCCTGAGAGCTCAGTCAAAACAAAGTTAAAATATTTACATGAGTACAGTATTTATCTTTCTAAARCAGGGGACAAAAAGATACCCAGCTTAGATGCTAGATCATAAAGAGGATGTCATTACCCAGAAATTCTAGGTTCCTTAAGTTCTCCAGTAGCACTTCCTTATATAGCTCCTTCTGAGAGGGCTCCAGCTTCTTCCATTCTCCTCTGGAAAAATTCACAGTCACATCCTTGAATGTAATGGTTTCCTAAAACACCAAACATAGTCATTTTGCATTGTATTATTTCCAGCCAGACCCTAAGGATTCAGAGAAGTGGTTAGCATATAAATAAATGACTTTGACAGTATTCAAGTTTTTAAAAATTTCAAAGTAACTATGGAGTAGCTATTATGTGACTAATACAAGTGACAAAGAACAGGGTATTGCATAACCCTTGCCTCTCCCATCCAGTCTTTGTCAATGCTGTATAAGAATTCTCTATTGGTCAAGTTAATTCTAACATATTGATTCCTACGAGTAAAAGGAAAACTATGAGTGAAGGGTATGATTTACATTACCAAACCCCAAATATGCAGAATTAATATAAGCTAACTACAGGTAGGAATTAAATACATAATAATATCATTAGCAATTGTATTCCAAATTTTAACTTCCAGTTATATGCAGTAACTATTTTCTATATCCTCTTACAGAATCTGTATTTAATCTGTACTCRCACTTGTAATAGCTCCACATTTATAAACAAGTAGACTGACTCTTTAAATTCACTTTCTGTAGCATCCTCTGCATGACTTTTTGAGAGGCAGTATAACAGAGTGTCTGCCTATTATTGCATTAGCTTCCTGCTGATGTAATACCATGTAACCAATTACCATGGCTTTGGTTGCTTTGAACAACAGAAATGTATTCTCTCACAAAGCTGGAGCCAGAAATCAGAGCTCACTGTGTTGGTAGAACTGCACTCTCTTGAGAGGATCTGGGGGAGAACTTGTTCCTTGTTTCTTCTAGCTTTTGGTGATGTCAGCATTCCTTGGCTTGTGGCACTATCCATTGAAATCACCTCCCTCTTTATATCATCATCTCTTCCTAGTACACTCAATCTCTCTTAAACTCTATTGGGGGAACTTACAACGCATTCAGAGCCTACTCATATAATCAAGGATAGACATTTTAAAACCCTTAATTTAATCACACCTGCAAAGATCTTCCTCCAAAGGAAGAAACATTCACAAGTTGCAGGAATTGGAAAAAAGACATAGTTTTTGGAGTAATCACTGGCCTGATACAGCACTGTTAATTCATTCTTGTGAATAAAATCCCCCACCACCCAGTATGGTGGTCTGAGGCATGAAGAGCACAAGAAGACTGAGGCATGAAGATCACAAGTTCAAAGCCAGCCTCAGTAACTTAGCAARGCCCTAAGCAACTTAGCAAGACTGTTTTAAAATAAAAAGGACTGGGGATGTGGCTCAGTGGTTAAGCCCCTTTGGGTTCAATACTCAGTACTAAAAAAAAAAAAAAAATAGGTATTTTTTTCCTCTAACTGGTGATTACTGCTTTATAGGAAACTTATTGATTTGTAACCAACTATTTTCCCAGATATTACGACAAGATTCAGTACTTTTTCAGTTGTTTTGTTGARGTTTTGAAAATAGACAATGTCTGCGAATACACATTTGCCTCTTTAATACCAATGCTTGCTGCATTGGCTAGAGTGTTCAGAAAACAGTGGTTAATGGCAGTGATGTCTTTTCTTTTTGGTAATGGGGACTGAATCCAGTGTTTTGTGCATGCTAAGCAACATCCCCAACCTTTTTTTTTTTTTTTTTTTTTTAATTTTGAGACAAGATCTCCCTAAGTTGCTAAGGTTGGTTTTGAACTTGTAATCCTCCTACCTTAAGACTCCTGAATTAGTTTTTGAGAATTAGTTTTTGAGACAGCATCTTGATAAGTTGTCAAGGCTAACCTTGAATTTGTGATCCTCCTGTCTCAGCTTCATGAGTAGCTGAGATTAGAGGATGTACTACTGCACTCAGCAGCAATTCCTTATCTTTTATTGATATTATGAAGATTCCAACACTACTCAGCTGGAGATCCTCTTGATCAAATAAAGGAAATACAGCTCTATTTCCACCTGACTAATTTTCTACAGGATTAACTGTTGAATGTTAGTAAATTTTTTGTTTTTGTTTTGAAATATTTATTTTTTAGTTGTAGTAGACACAATACCTTTTTTAAATTATGTATTTATTTATTTTCATGTGGCTCAGGGTCTTGCACATGCTGGGTGAGCGCTCTACCACTGAGCCATAATCCCAGCCCCAAATGTTTTTGTTTAGTCCAACTTGTAACACAATCTGTGAACTCAAATAAAATGTGAAAAATAAACTTTAAGGGGCTGGGGATGTGGCTCAAGCGGTAGTGCGCTCACCTGGCATGCGTGCGGCCGGGGTTCGATCCTCAGCACCACATACAAACAAAGATGTTGTGTCCGCCAAGAACTAAAAAATAAATATTAAAAAATTCTCTCTCTCTCTAAAAAAAAAAAAAAAAAAAAAAAAATCCTCTCTCCTGTTCTCTATTTCTTAAAAAATAAAAAAATAAACTTTAAGTTCCTTGTTTGTTTGTTTGTTTKTTTTCTGGCATGAATTATCTTTATCACTAAAGAGTCCAGTTCAGTATTCACTTAAGAATGAAAACCAGGGAAAGGAAACTTACACATGATTCAGTATTTGAAAGAACTGCAACCATTGTATCTTCTTCTGAGTTTTCCTCTTGGCAAAGAGCAGAATCTTGAGCAACTGGATCTAAGAAGGGGGAAAAACACCTGGTCTTTCTAGTGGATTCTTCCGACTAAACATTTTTTTTTGTATTCCCTAGGGTGGGGGGATGATGGGGGGGACACAAGTCTGTTTCTCCTACATACAACCCAGACTCCTCTGTGATCCCAGATGTGTGTGTCTGAGAGGAGGGTCCCCCACACAAACCACACAATTCTGCTGTGCATACACCAGTGGACATTAGCTCAGTGTCCTTTAATCCAATTCAATCTGACACCATCTATCCAGAGAGAGCACCAGATTCCACAGGTTGAGGACTCAGTCCCACAACACTGTCCCCCATTTCAGAGGCTAGCTTTAGCCTCTGGAAGTTCTGACCAATAGTTATAAATCAGATTTCCCACAACCACCTCCTTGTTAGAATGGCTCACAGGACTCAGGGAAATACTTTTATTTTTACCTGTTTACTACTTACGATATTACAAAGGATATAAATGAACAGCCAGAGAGAAGAGCTGCTTAGGATAAAGCACTAAGAAAAGGCTCATAGTCTCTAAAAGGAACCAAAGGCCTGGATGTGCCCAAATTTCTATGCCCTCTTCAGGTGTACCACCCCCTAGGAATGCCCACATATTCAGCTTGCTAGAGGCTTACAACCCAGTCCTTTTGGGTTTTTCAGGTGGCTACATCATACCAGCATGATAAAATCACCAGTTGCAGGCAGAATGGCTCAATCTTCAGCAACTCTCCAGGATGCCCCAAGTTCCAACCCTCCCCCTCCAGAACAAGTTGGTTCCCATGGCAACCAGCCTCCCAGGGTGATGGCTAATCAGGGACTTTCCAAAAATCACTTCCTTGACAAACTCAGATGTGACTGAAAGGTGCTTGTTATAAATAACAAAAAGACTGCATTTTACCTTGGGAGCTCTGCAGTTGTTTGGGGAACAAGTTTCAGGAATCCAGGAGAARAGGATAAATACTTTAACAAAAGATACTTACTGTGCCAGTCACTTAGGAAATGACAAGGTTATAGGAACTGTGAGCCAGGGACTGTGGATGAAAACTCATAAATATATCTCAAAATATTACTCTTGGTTTCAATTTTTTCAGGAAAAAAGGCATGAAATTTTTCCCATTCTTTAAACAAAGATTAGTGAGAGACAGGTTCTTACAGTACCCCATAAGAACCCAGGCTTTCTTCCCTATCTTAACCCCAAATCCTTTCAATTCCTAATTTCCCCAAAACTGGTTTCCTTTGTTGCACAAACCCTCAGCTTCAAAATATTTAATTTACACAATAATGAGTCTTTGAATAGTTTTAAATTAAAAGATGTATTAAGGTAAAGGGCATTTTCCTTTTTTCTTATTAATGTGTTTACTTTCTAGTCTGAGCACAAGGCATGGCTCCAGGGTCACCCAAAACTGTTTGTTTACTGAGGGAAGGCATCAGCTGGTCCCAAGAACTGACTCCATCTTTGGGAAACCCAGCAGATTCCTGCAGACTGAAATGAGGAAACTAAACTCACAGGAACTAAATGTCTGAAATTGACTTCAGGTGCCTTTTTCACATTTGAAGTATTTTTTTCAAATCACATTTCTTGTGAAAAGATTTTTTCTGGCAGCTTTACCAACTAGACAACTAGAAAAAAATTAAGAATTAGAATTATGTAATCAAAATCAAAAGAGGGTTGTAATTTAAGAAAATTGTTCTTCCTCACAGGATGCCAACAGTCAATTTTTTGTTTCCAGAAGCCTCTACACAGAAGCCCTAATTTGGAGAAGTGCCATGCTACAGAGACAGAATTTATTCCACCATGAGTTCTAGAATACATAAGGAAACAATGTTTACCACCATAGACTTAATCTGTTGTTACACGGACAACTGATGTGTTCAAAATGGGGGTTTCCTGACTTCTCTCTGATTTGTCTGTTATTGCAACATAGTGTTTTTCCAAAATTAGGGCTTCTAAGGGGAGGACACTGCAGGAAGAATTGATTGCCCACATTCTCTAAGGTACAAAAGTTTCCTGATGTTAATCTCTCATCTTTGATTACATGGTTCTAATTCTTTTTGCTTCCTTTGAGGAGTTTACTTTCATAACTTGAAATCCCCCCACTTTCTTCCTCCATCTATAAATCTCACCTTCCTTTTCTTCAAGTATCTCACCATCCTTCTCTTCAAGTGTTTGGGTCAAATCTTCTATCAGGGCCACCGTCTCCTCACTACTCTCAGGATGTTGTGACTTTACCCAAATCCTGATCTCCCCAGGCAAAACGGCCAGAAACTGCTCAAATACTAAGAGCTCTAAAATCTGTTCTTTTGTGTGAATGTCAGGTCTGAGCCACTGAAGGCAGAGTTCCCAGAGTTGAGTCAGGGATTTCCTGGGTCCAGCCTCTTCTGAGTAACAAAACCACCTGAATTTCTGTCTGAAAGACTCTGGGTCAGCTGTGTTTCCTTTTGAGATAGCTTTTTGGTCCTCAGGAGTTTCTGCTCCTGGGACTTTGTTGTGTTCACTTGAGGCCACCGTCACAGGATCTGGGGAGATGGCTGTCATCTTGTTCAGGGTGACTACAGCTTGCACTGTGAATCACAAGTAGGAATCCGGTCCCTTTAGACTATTGAAGTATCAGCACAGTCCACCAATAGGCACTATACGCAGCAAAACATCAAGGACTCCAGGGATCCAGTTTACAGTCTTGCAGAAACTGCCAAGAAGAAACATAAGACATGGAAAAAAATGAAATAAATTGTTGTTAATCCTGAACACATTGGTTTGGTTCAAATACATATAGTCATAYATATAACCTCAGAGGCCTAGAACAACCCTGCCCAAGTATTCTATTAAAAGGACAATTTCCTTTATAGGTCAAATGCTCAGGAGTTACTTAAGGATAATTAAAGATTTCCTCCCAGGAAGCAGCAAATTCAGACTTCATAATACTCCTCATAAACAAAATTTATCAGAAAAGGCTCCCTATTCCAAGGGGATGATGTCACAAATCTACTTAACTACTTCTGCCATCTCCCAGTAGACAGCCATACATTTCCCACCAGTTGCCCAACTCAGAAGTCTGATCTCATATTTGACTACCAACTCTCTCTTCCGCCTTACTCTTCACATCCATTAATAGCCAAGTTCTGGCAACTTTATTTGCTAAGACCCTTTCCATTCTATTGCACTGAAACTGCCTAAGAACAGGTTTCTTCAATCTAGTCTCAAGGGATTTTTTCTAACACACAAAAGTTGATCCTGTCACTCCCCTGTTTGTACTTCCTTACTGGCCAGCTGTTTCAGATAAAGTTCAATGCACTGGCCAGCTGTTTCAGATATAATTTCAATGCAGAGGGGTGTGCACAACCATCAAGAAACATGCCTGGCTGACCTCATCTCTCAAGCTCTAGCTAGCAGATTGACAGTGCAGCCATAAAGAAATATCCCCCCATACCCCAGTCTATACTCTCCTATTCTTTGCACGATGGCTATTCCCTCTCCTTGGACTGCTGCCTCCTTCAAGGCTCCTATCAAACTTTAATTCTTTCTTTAAAAACTGACTCCTTTCACCTCCTGTCACCTCTTGTGTGAAACTCTCTGTGATCCCCAAATGCACACAGCCTGCTGTATGGCATGCATTCATTCATTCTACAAGTGACTGAGCATCTACAATGAGCTGGGAATGAGCATTGTGAGGACTGGTCAGGCGGGGGACCCACTCTCCCAAGGGTTCAGGAAATAACAACACAACCTAAGATGAACCACTGCGGGGCAACGGAGAAGATGGGCGTCKCTTACTGCAATTATTATACAAATAATAATCTTGCGTACCCAATACTGTACTCATCTCCGAGCACCGAACGCAGCACGCATAATGTCACTTATTCCTTTGCTAAATACTAGACGCCCACTTATSTACCACTGGCGCCCTGCAGGGCACCTGGGACTTACACATTCTCGACTCCGTCTCCCTGGAGTTACAATAGAGGCTCAGTGAAAACGTGACGCAGGCAAAGATTCCCAACCAGGGGGAAGAAAGGGAGAGACGATTTTGCCCCAAAAGGGTCATTTGGCAACACCTGAAAACATTTTTAGTGATCTGGACCCGAGAGGAAGGATGCTTTAACTKGTATCTAGGGGATAAAGCCAGGGATGCTGGCAAAACGGACACACACCCCCAAAGAATTATCCCGCCCAAAATACACGACTGCATAAGTTTCGAACCCCTGGGCGCAGRGAGGGATGGAGAGAAGCGGGTGGCTCTGTCCTGCAGGGCAGCGACCGACTCCCGCGGCAGGAGCAGCAGCCGCAGCGCACAGCCAGGTCCGCTGGCTGCTCTCAGTCCCCACCCTGCCCCCAGGTGCGCGCTCGGAGCCSGCGACTCGTCGCAGCTCCCGAACTAGGGATCCAGGACAACCAGTACCTGCACCAGCATCCGCAGCCAGCTCCAACGCCACCGCAATGAGCTTCCAGAAGCTCGTCCCCGCAGCRGCTGCGCGCGCAAGCCCGCGGAAGCCACTGCGCCTGCGCAGCGGTTCTGAACTACGACTCCCGGAGTGCGTCTGTTCCACTTTGCAAAAGTCCTGCTCCTTCCATAGGCTCCCACCTGCCCTGTTGCGCATGGTTAGTGGGCAGCGGGTGGGGGGCTTAGCTGYAGAATTATTGCTGCGCCAGAGGCTTGGAGGCCTAGAACCCTCTCAGGTTTTCAAATCTATGCGGCTCTGTCTCCTTGGCAACCTCAAATCTTCCCTCACCTTCCTTGGTAACCACCATTCCCTGAGATCCAATGTGAAAAAAAAAGAAAAAAAAATACTGCAGAAGTGTATCACCGATGCACTTGATACATCGGTAAACTAAATTAAATGTTAATCTGACTTCTACACCTGCCATCATTGATCCAAAACAAAACACCATCCTGCCTTGCCTGGATTATTGTTGTGATAGTTTATTGATTTGACAGTTCTTGTCCATTCTGTCCTCACCAGGGTCAGGCAGATGTTTCAAAAACATCAAACGAATGATGTTCCTCCTTTGCTTAAACCACTGCAAAGGCTTCCCATTTCACTACAAGGCCTGAGGGAATCTGGCCACTCATAACCTGTTTGACCACTTCCTCCACTTTCCTGCTCCAGACATGATGACTTCCTCCCTATCACTCTGGTCTGCTGGGCACACGTAGCCACATGGCTCGCCCTCCAACTTCTACCCACTCATCTCAGTGAGCTCTGCCACCACTGCAGTTAGTGAAATTRGAGTTCCGCCCCACTCCTGTTTCCCCTTCTAACATACCATGATTTTCTTCTTAATTACTTATTGTCTAATTTCTACACCAGAATATTAATTCCACAAGGATAAGGATTTTTATCTGGTTTGTTCCATGTTTTATTTCCGGGCCTGGAACAGAACTTGGCACAWAGTAGGTACTCAATAAATCATTTGTTGAATAGATGGCTGGGCATTTGCATGAACAAATTTCAGAAGGATTGCTTGGAGGGTTCTCATAACTAGATGATTCTTGGAGGGACAGAGTTGGGAAAGWAAGTATTCCAGATTGAGGGAGCAGAGCAAATCTTCAAGGCACACTTTAAACCATCAGAGCAGGCTCAACTAAAAGAGCTACTGTGTTTATCTCACAGACAGCAARGTGATGGAGGAAATAGGGTTGCCCTTCAGTCAAGAAGAGGATGACTGGTTGCAACCSGACTCTGGTTCATTGAGATGCTTTTGCTTCCCTGGCCTGAGGAGGCCTCCTAGCAGTTGCCCTGCTGAGGTGCTTTCAGCCCCAGTACTGTGATGTACAGCCCTCAAGAGTTCCCCCCTACTCATTTTTCCCCCCTGCAGATGTGAATCTCATTATGGAGAGTACAAAGCTTTATAAAGGGATAAAATTTGAATTTCATGGAGTTTGATTTTGTGTCTGAACCATATTTTAAAATATTGAGTTTTCAGAAAGAAAGGTAGTAAATTCTGGTACATTCTGTGTAGACAGTAATTCTATTGGTAATGTATTGTTAGGCAGTCATGATAACAAAAAGCTGTCTTTTGATAAATTGATTCATCTATAAATTACAACATGACTGATACCCTATCTGAATTGTTCTTAAATGAAGATCAGTTTATTTAAATTYTTAAATGAAATGTAGAAAGTGTGTGCTGTGGAAATTTTATGGCTAAGTTTATGGAGAAAATACCATCAGTTGACCAGGTATAATAAAGAGATATKCAGAGTTAGGAAGAAAGACAACACGAAACTGCAGGAAGTAGAAACAAAGTATAGATAATATTTAGCAAATGTAGAAGAGTTAACAGTTGGTGAGCTCTGTGTCCCCATGGATCATCTCCATTCCCAGCATGTCAAGCCACCATCACAACAAAAAGAATTTGACATCATCATTGTGATCCGMTTAACAAAAACCAGCACTTGCAAGCTKCTCAGGCTGAACTGGAACACTAGATCATGAGCACATAAACGTTCTCATTCAAGCTGCGTGTGTCTGCATGCTGACTTGAAATACTAAACCTCAGCATTTCTAGAGAATTTTCCAAAAATGGACACTTGGGAAAATATCTCCTGTGTTCTGACATAGCATCATCCTTTGGTTCCCAGTTACTTAGCTTCCCACCACAGGCAAAGCATGCTACCCTATCTCCAAGTCCTATGCAGTAAAAGCCAGCTCTCCCCAATTCCAATGGCAACAAAAATGTTGACAGCCAYGCATTATAAGTAAGAAATCTGGCTTCTTCAGTACTCATTGGGTAACTGTAGGGGTTAGTCATCAAAGGAGAGAAGTCTTCAACAGCTCTAGAATTTAGAGGATTTGGTGAAAGGCTGGAATAAGAATCATGGAATGAGCCACTATGTTCCAAACTAGGAGATAATGAATGTTCAAAACTGTTTCTCATTGGAGAGGTATTCTTAGAGGTGGATTGCAGACTAGCTGAAACCAGATTCTGAATAAAKCTATAGCTAGAATATAGCTGTTTACACTTTTCAATAGGATTGTCTCTTTGTTTCCARTTATCCAGTGTCAGGCCACAATAGAAGCATCTGACTTTGTCATTCACACCAGTTTAATAAAAACCAGCAGGAGCAAGACTCCCTTCTGAAACAGGAACACTGATGGGGAAAATTGAATATATAGACATTCTGTAGAGCCACATGAAAAGTCATACTTCATTTGTCCAATTTGACAAGATTGTGCTATCTTCCATTTTACTCCTTTTTTTTTTTTTATGCAAGGGATCTTGGATAACTCTTTGGAGGCAGTTTTGTGCATGAGTAGGTAGCAGTACTTTTTGATGGCTAAAACTTTTGTTACTGCTGTTTACCGGTGATGAGTCCTTGCTTCCCTAAATGCTGAAGTATAACACCAAAGAAGCACGAGGAGGCAAGTGTAGAGTGGAAAATAGAAGGCTTTATTAAAGGACAGCAGAAAAGACTTCTCCCCAGAGGAAGAAGGGGACCCAAAAGGCGGAATCTGTGGAAGGGTGAGGTTTTCCATTTTTTATASCTAAGGTCTTCTTTTAGTCTTCCCATATTCATGTCCTTTGTCTCCCTTTATCCTGCGGTGATAGAATCCAGGTGGGAAGGCCAA